TGCGGCTGCGCGTTTCCATACACGGGGGAGGAGGGGGAGGGGGCGGCGGCCGCCTCGTCGGAGGCGGTGGGTGCGGCGGCCGCCTCGTCGGAGGCGGTGGGTGCGGCGCGGCGGCTAGGAGGCGGTGGGCGGCGGGGGAGGGGGCATCGATGGGCGATCGGCGGAGATCTGGGTGGGGATTTTGTTGATTGATTTGGGGGGCAGGGGAGGCGGTGGGGACTGCGGCTGCGGGGGCGGCGACGCGAGATAAGAGAGAGAGAGAGAGGCCGGATGGGACGCGTGAGCGCGAGGAGGGCCGCTTGGGCTTTTGCGGGGTTGTTCGGCTCTCTGCCCACGAGCAGAGCACCGCCCCGCACCGCCCTCCCTCGACCTAAGAAAAAGAAGAAGAAAACAAAAATCTTCTCAAGAAAAGTCTCTCAAAAGATAAAATACTCCCTCCGAGCAATTCCGGACCAAGAAACTACTATTTGTGTAGATATATACGAATGTCCCGTATCTAGACATGTTTTAGTGTTAGATATATCTGTATCCGGACAAATTTAAGATGCAGTTTGGGACGGAGGTAATATCATAAAAATGAAAATTCAATATACTGAGTTAACCGAAATTTGTGGCGAGGCTTCATCCGTGTGTATGTATATCTGGAGATTTATGGCGAGGCTTCATCCGTGTGTATCCAGTAGAGAACCCATTCATGATTCTGCCGATGGAAAGCGGTGCTCGTGGTTTCCGGCATGAGACGCCGTCGGAGCTTCGGGCCAAGGGAGAACATATAAGGGCGTGTTTGGTTACATTGTCAATTGAGTCTGGCCCGGTGAGCCTGGCTCTAGTGAGCCGGTTTGAGGGGATGCAGACAAAAAGACTCCAGATGCACATAGTTTGGTTGCCTGCATGTACCTTAGTTGCATGAGACAACCATTTTTGGCCCGGTGTTTGGTTGCCCGCATTGCATTGGACGCACATATGACATGATGTTTGGTTGCAACCCGTATAAGGTGTTGTCACCATTTCTAACTAGTGATGAGCTTACCACACATAATCTGAACATATAGTGTCAGCTAGTTAAACAAATGACAATTCATCCTAACTACTATCAAATGACAGAACAAATTATTAAGCCATTGGCTAAATAGGGGATAGTTCATTGGTGTTGCTGCTACCAGATCTTCATCTTCCTCTTCTTCTGCTTCTGCTTCTGCTTTTGCTTCTTCTTGTGCTGCTGCTTCTTCGTCTTCCTCTTCTTCAAATCTGGCACTGACCTCTGTTAAGCCACATTGCATCTGCCCACTCCAACCTTTTGTTCTTCCAAGCGTCATTGTCAAATGCCTCCACACCATGGCCGGAGCTAACAACATCGTCAGGCTTGACCTCTTCCTCCTCTGGCATGTGTTCATCAAAGCCCCACTGGAGGATCCAGTTATGCAGAATGCAACAAGCAAGAACAAGCTTAACCTGAGTGGAGTATGGGTGGAATGGCTTCTGATCCAAGATTTTAAATCTATTCTTCAGAGCTCCAAATGCCCTCTCAACAGTTACACTAAGGTTGGAGTGTCTGAGATTAAACAACGCATGTGTTGTCCTAGGATAGTTCCTACCAGAAAACTCGTTGAGATGGTACTTGGTTTTCCTGAAGGGTGAAACAACACCCGGACATGCATAGCCAACATCTTCAAGGTAGAACCTACCGTCGGGGATGTTGATCCCATCAGGTCGACTCATGTTGTCATTGAGAATGTTAGCATCATGTGCTGACCCCTCCCAGCTAGCCAGCACATATGTGAACTTCATATCAAAGTCAACAACAACAAGCACATTCTGGCTTGTGTAGTGCTTCCTCCCCTTGTATGCTGCAGACTGTGACCTAAGAACTCTGGCAGTGACATGAGTACCATCTATTGCCCCAATGCAATCCTGAAAATGGTATCACAAGCCTGTGTTAGTGCTCAACTTGAACAATACAAGCATATCAAGCCATGAAAAGTGTATATTATCAATGCTCACCTTGAAATATGGATACCATCTTGGGCTTCCGCGAATCTTGGGTGGAGTCCGGACAGATGGTCTCCTGATCATCTTTCCTCTAAGCTCCCCAACAGCAAAAAGCACCTGCTTGAAGTACCTAGAGGTGGTCTCCATTTGATCTCCTGAACGTGTTGTGAATGACCCTGAACCTTTGGTTATGGCCAACAACATGGAGGAACATGGCCACTTGCTCTTCCACACTGGTGTTGATGTTATCTTGTGCAACCCCCTGCTCCTGAAGGTCTCGACAAGCCTGGCAAATGGTGCTCTTTTCATTCGAAGCATCCACAAAGCCTTGACGTCATTGCAGTTGTAGATGTAGTTCAGATTTTGGATCCTCTACTGTTCCCGGATAAACATTGGACCATAGCGGATCAAAGGTCTCCCAGCACGACGAACAACTCTCTGGTGCATGAACATGACCCATGCCTGAATCACACTTATCAGTGTTGCTGCCTGAATTATCAGCCTCATCTGTGCGTCCATAACCTAGTCGACATCGACGGTTCGTTCAGTGGGAAATCGATCCTACACCTTGCCTATCGGCCTAACCACTGACCTAACAAAGTGGGGAGGGGGTGCTGCTTACCGGCATCAGAGACGAGGACGTCATAGGGGGAGTCATGGCACAGACAAGGTCAATCAGACGATGGCCAACAGCAAGGGGAGCACCAGATCCGCCGCAAACGTCACCGCCTCTTCCGCCGCCGCCGCCGCCTCTAGCACAGATCTGAAATTGTAGCCGCCGCCGGTGGTGAGGCAGTAGGGAAGAAAGGGGGCAGGGAAGAAAGTGGCTACGGATGAGCGAGTAGAAAGGGTGGTGAGGCCAGATTTGGCGTAGGGACGGCGCGCCAGATTACCCATCTCCCACCACCCCCCTTGCCATCGCGTCGCACCCGCCCATGCGACCTCGCGCCGCACTCAGTCTGGCTTGTGAGAAACTGCCGATTCGAGCGTTCCAGCGAGCCAGGCTCTGGGCTGCTTTGAGAAGCGTGTGATGCAGGCCCAACAATGAAACCAGGCAACCAAACAGGCCTCTTCCTTCCCGCGCGGGCCTGGTTGGGCTTGATGCGGGCAACCAAACATGCCCTAAAAGTGCATTGTTTCTTCAATGGCATTTTGGTGTTGATGACAATGGGGCTAGTGAGGACTAGTGTAGATGACCCGTGTGTAAAGGTGTAATAGTTCGACTCCCTCCTATGTTGGTTTGTAGCAAGTGGATAGACGTCTTTCCTGAGTGACAAACCTAACAATCTATAGAGATGCAATAGTTGGATGTCTTTAACACCAATAAAACCCTCTTATGCCCCCAACAATACAATAAGGGTGTCAATCATTGCTAGTCTTGCTAATTGAAGAAGCCTATTTAAAGATAGTGTGTGATAAATATTTTTTGGTATTCTTGCAATAAAATAAAAATGAAATAAACAATGTGTAAATGTTTTTAACATGGTACAAGAGCATACGCTTATACATATGCATATACACCCAAACTTATGAACGCTCGCACGCACACCCTATCCATATGAGCACCTCCGAGAGACTGAGCCGGCACATCATCTTAGATTGACGAACTTGCCACAGACACCTTCATAGTTGACGGAAACGTCTCCTCCCACTAAACGCATATCACCGGAAGACCTGAAATAAATTCAGGAATGCGAGCACCAATGTCAAGTCTAGGACTTGAACTTTGGTGACAGAGGATACCACTGTCCTCCTACCATCTAAACACAGGTCCATTCACATGTGTAAACTAGGTGATTTCCCCGCGCGTTGTTGCGGGACATCCATGTACAACTTTCTGAAATATTTGTTTTACCATGGAAAATCATATCATCAATGTTTGAAATTTACTTATTTCAAGACAGTTTTCACGTGGACTTAAATCCTAAGTACCTCTTTAATAGATTAACTCAACTAACATCCACAAACATAGACTATATATAAATGAAAATGACAGAATGATTGGTACCAAACAAAAAAGGGTTGACCAACAATTTAATATGTGTACATATTTGATATTTCCAAGAGTATTCATCTGGATAATGGAAGACATTACACTCGTACATCCTTTATAGATGAAGATGATGTTAGCTCATCAGTTATATTTCAATTTGATGGTCATAGAAAGGAAGGAACAATAAGAGGCATGACAGATAATTAAACTCAGAAGGGGTAGATCTAAATCCCAATGCTCATGTAGTCAGAGTTGGGTTTCAATTGAAGCTGTTAAGTCCTTTGTTATGTGGTTCTAACACCGGGCCATAAAAATTGACCGATGCAACCAAAGGAAGCAACGCTCAAATAGTATAATGAGTAACTTCGTAAGAGAAGGATGATAA